AAACTAATCAATAATATCTACACTTAACAGTCTTTTATATCATGACAATAACATTTATAGAAACTTTATATTTCACATATAACATGTCATCCGGTAATTCAGCTGTAAATTTACAGCTTACAATGCTTAAATCCAAGGTTCGATTCCCCGAGGTGGACACAGCATAGATTGCTCATTGCGTAGCTTTGCACTAAAACAACATCAAACATATTATATACATATAGATATATAAATATTTGGATGTGTGATTTTTTTATGTACCTATTTTCTGAATTCATCTGAAAAATACAAGTTAGGAACTGTGAGTGTTATTGTCTGAACAATTAATTAATTGTCTATAATAGTATAAATAATTTTTATAATGTGTCTAGAATCAAAAGGGTGTGCTACTGATGCTTCAGCTCGAAAATGGTATCACACGTTTAAAGTGTGGTTCTAAATGTGGAATATATAGCATACTACTAATTTAGTACAAATGCTACTGTTTATTTTTAAAATTAGCTTGTTACTGCTACAGTTGGCTGTGTGTTTTTAAATTAAGATAAATATATTTACAATGTTACGTAAGATAAAAAACTTTATACAAAAATTTGAAACTTAAATGAAATTAGGCTTGTGATCCGTTTCAGTATGCGGCTGCTAACGCATGTGCCGAGAGTCGAAATTTAGCCTTGTAGTATAAACTAGTATTGCCATTTGGAGTAATCAATATTCAGTAGTATTGTTTGCTGTCGTAATTGTTTAAAGAGCATATCAAATGAAACCCATCAGTACTAGTAATATTACTATTAGGATATTAATAATAGTTCTAACTTCTAGTACTAGGGGAAAGTAACGTAGTAATACTAACTGTCAATGTTATAATAGAAGTCAGATTTAGGATTGTAAAGTGGAATATTAAAATAACTTAAACCAAAGTGCAGTAGCATCTGTTAATGTTATACGTTTAGAATTAGATTTTAGAGTATTTACGTATTTTTCTTTGTTTATTTAATAAATTATATTAAAAGTAATAATGAAGTGAATTAAAGGAATTTTATGATTATAAGTTAAAACAGTTTAATTTTTTAGCCAGGTACATATTTTCACAATTTCAAATCATTATTTAATTGGTATTAACAGTTTTTTGGATTGTACTGAAGATTGGTGAACAGAACAGGATAGACCTGCTTACTTCAACATTAAAGTTAGGATTCCATCTACAGAGCAAGCCTCTTCTGTAGTACTCCATACACAGTCTTTTTCCTGAAACTAGAATCTAATACGAATCACAGAGCATATAATTGACTGTCTATTGCTTCCTTGCAATATGATCTTTAAAGTGATCAAGAGGTAGACATGTTTTTAGCTTTTACAAGACTTATTGAATGAGTGTGGATTTCATGATAATGCAAGTTTTATTTTTTGTCAGATACAGTTTTTCAACCAAATTAATCTTAACCTTTTCCTACCAGTACCAGGATATTCTCCACTGAACATTTTTTTGTGTATAATGGTCATTTAATGCTTTTACTGTTCATTTTTTACAACTGTTGCCTGGTTTAAAAAATAGGGTAATTTTTTTATAAAGATACAAATACATTTTTTATTTCAGAATTTGATGTGTATTTTCTTTTTCATTCCTCAAATGAATTTCAAATTTCTCTCTCTCTCTTGAAATCATGATAAATGTATATTTACGTGTGTATGTATTTAGTAGTGCTTTAACAATGTGTATCGTTATTGGGGTTACTATATGAATGTGATGTAATATCAGATGATTTTAATATGGAAACAACCTACAGTGCAATCAATTATGGTTGATGAGTGGATTAGGGTCCAACAGACTTGATGTTAAAATTACAAGTATATTGATTGGACTGGTTTCTAACAAAAAATTTGAGGAATGACATTTTAATGCAGAACTGAGTACCACTGGTATGCCGAGGAGAGACATGCATCACTGGCCGTTGTTTGATGGGGCAAAGTTTATCTGCACACGTGTAGCAAGTGATTGTGATCATGGATTAAGCATATCAGATGTGCTGATAGACAAGTATATGTCCTCCAGGGGCAACTGGTACTGACTGAACTGTGTATCATTGGTACTTTGATACAGTGGTCACAAAGTGTGTATCATGGGGCAAAATACTCCGATGTGTTGGTGCATCTGGAAATCATTACAGCACTAGTATATAGATGTACAGTAAGGGAAATTATTCTAGAAGTACACAAGCAATATACATAGAATGTCTTAAACAATGACTAACTGCAAATAGATTGGGAATCTCTTAATGGTATAAAATATTATCAGAGAAAATACAAACGAAATAGGTTGTAAATTACACTAGTATTTTTTATGTTTATCAACATATGATTATCAAATATTATTTTAAATGTCCTGTATTACTACATGCAAGGTCAGCCAAGCTGTTTAGTCACCTTTTGACATTTGTAGCTTTTTTATAAGCCTGTATAGTCTAAAGAATGTTCATACTTGGACTTTTTGCAGGTCGGGCCATGGTTGTGAACATTCCATTAACCATTTTTACCTTCATGATATTGTTTGTCCACATTTGCCATATGTTTAGGATCATTATTTTGCTGGAAGATAAATCTCTGCCTGATGAATTGTATTCCCATGGAATGATGTGGTGGATCAGAATCTGCCTTTACCTGTCAGCAGTCAGGACACTGTCAGTTTTGTGTAAAACTCCCATACTGTTGGCTGAGATTAAGTCACAAACCTGTATTGATTCTCTACCATGCTTCACTTTTAAATGTTGCACAGTAATAATGTCTCCCTCTGCCATCGACCAATCAATTTGAACTTTGATTCATCTGTAAAGAGCATGTCTCCAGTTTTGCTTATTCATCTGTTTGTGAAATTGTGATTCAATTCCCATTTCAAACTTTTGGTTACTTCTCAGTAGTAGTTTTTGAGTAGCTACGCATCCAGCGAGACTACTTTGAGTGTATGTTGCTCTTCTCGAGGTAACATTCATACCTATAATTACAGCATAGTCTTTAGCGAAATCTGTTGTTTTTCACTAAGGTACTAAACACCAATTATGGAGAGTTTGTTTTCTTCCTCGACCACTTCTATTATTAACAGTACCATTTTCGCAATCCCCTTTCAACTCTTGTATACAGATCCTTCTAAATTATGGAGTCTTGCCAAAAATGTTTTTCATGGAATGTTAATGACTAGCTAAAATTTTGCTTTCTCCATGCTTGTCATGAGGTATTTCAGTCCTAATAAGCATGACTAGATTCACACTATTTCTGTTGGGAATTGTATTACTTCCTGTATTTTTATAGGACTTTTACTTGTCACTTTCTAATTTATTGGATCACAGTCATTCACATTGTAAACTTTCAATACGTTATTCGAATGCAGCTAATTTTCACACAATGAGGGGGGGGGGGAACATTCCCATAGTACTTGACTTTTATATTCTTTTTCTCATTTTTCCATAACCTTGTATTTTTTATTATTTTTTGCTTGTTTGTTTTTTCAAATCATGAAATTCATTATGGATTACCTTTTACTAAGAATTCTAATTACTATTGCAAACACTAAAATTACATTTAACTCATTTGCTTTACTCATGCATCTCTTGCCATTTATTTTGTTTTTCACCTAAAGTTTTAAACGTGTATAATTAGCGTAGAGGCTTAAGAATAAAATACGATAATTTTTTCAATTTTAAAAACTTGATTTAATTTTACAAGTTTGGTGTTCTCACTTTTCTTCACCATAAAATCAATAAAACTTCAACAGATTTTACAATGTGTATTTTGTTTTCAAACCAATTTCACTTGATATTAGGCTGATACTTTTAATTTTTTTAGTTATTGGCTACTTTTTAACAATTTCATTATAATTCAACAGATTTTACAATGTGTATTTTGTTTTCAAACCAATTTCACTTGATATTAGGCTGATACTTTTAATTTTTTTAGTTATTGGCTACTTTTTAACAATTTCATTATAATTCTTTTTTTAAGTGGATATTTTAATTACAAGTACTTTGTTTTCCCCCCTAATAACAGCTGTAGTGTTTTCTCATTCCTATCTCTGAATAAGAGATTGCACACCAATTGGCAAAGAAAATTTATTTTTGCAGCATTGAACTGATGTTATTGCTAGTGAAAACCCCAAACTTTTGATATTTAATTGTATAATTGGTGTTGAAAATATTTAGATTTCTTGTGTCATGTGTGAATGTTATCAATGATACTATAACATACACATTAACATGCTCTATTCCTTGTATTTATTGTATACATTTGGCTTGGAAGATTGTATTGTAGATGGATCATTAAGTGAGATAATAATGCTGTCATTCATATTCCATCTAAGTACACACCCTTTTTTATTCATCTTTCATACCTGTGTTCTGTTTTTTTTTCGAATTCATTGTTTGTGTCATGCAGTGTTTCAGTTATGCTCAGTAAAGTAATATATTAAGCCTTATGTACCCTTAAAGTTGTGTATACTTGTAATGTACATACAAAGATATTGATTTTAATTTATAAATATCTGTTGTTGTTTTTTTTCAGTATTTTAAATGTGAAAAGCAGACCAGCCTATCACATCATGGTATGTTATTGCTAAATTTGGTCTATCTTTTTAACTTGCAAAAAATTCACTTTGTATATATAAGCAAGCATTTTTTGGTTTAATTACTACTGACATAATTTGTATGAATAAAGCAGAGTTGTGTGTGCGGTGTTACAAGTTGTTTTGAGGGAACTGATGAAATTTAGTAGAGGTATTCTGGTGGATCTTCTAGAGATCGTTCAAGTGGATAGCAATTGAACGAGTGGTTCAAGTTTGGCAGACATTTTAGTTTTGTCATCTTAATACCGTGAATGAGGGGTTAATTGAGTTAGGAGATGTTACCAACAAATAAAAGTGATGTTAATTGCTACATGTAACATGAGTATCCTTGCACAGGACAAGCACATCTTGTGCTACAGCTAAAGATAGTGGAAGGGGTGACCCATGTTTATATTATTACTTTTTAAACGTAACATTACTGGTATTCTGATAACTTGTATATACTTATGGAAGATACTTTAATACATCTTATAAATTGTTTTATAAATTGTTTTATACTTTACACATAGTTGGTAATTAGTATGTTTTACTTAAACTCTACGCTAGCATGCTAAATATCTGAAAATTTGTTTTTTAATCATCAAATGTTATTTATGATGTACCATCTTATTTTGATACGACATTTTAATTGGTAGTGATAATACATGTTTGAGGATTTTTATAATAAAGAGATCATTTAAGAAAATGTTTTTATGTATTCATTCCCTTCGTTATTTGTAGATATAGCTTTGAAAAACTGTCATTATCTGTTATTGTTGTTTTTGTATTGTTATCATAATAGACAAACACAAACATGCAACTACAAGTGTTTTAGTATTTGTAAAATATCAAGAAGATTGGCAGCTGACATAATCTAAAACCAACTTACATCTACTAATACTTTTCAATGGTTTTCAAGTTTTTACTTTATAATAATCAACATTGAGATTCACTCTTGATACATGTAGTTTGACTGAAATAAAACATAAAATCAAGTACCACTTCACACATAAAAATATGTGATAATATGTTTTTCTTTTAAACTCTATATCAGTTTTTGTATCTGTTCCTCACTTTTAGCATCTTTAATATTTTTATTATAATTTCTTTATTGATTATTTTTGGTTAAAGGCTTAATATATATATACTTTCTTTTAAACTTGAATATATGTTTTGTGATAAGTTTATTTTTTTCTAGAAAAAAATCAGTACATCAGTTACGGACGAAGTTATTTTGGAGAAGATTGGAAACAAAGGAGTCATCACTTTAAATCGACCAAAAGCATTAAATGCTCTTAATCTGCCAATGATTAGAAGGATACATCCTCAACTAAAGGTACCTTTATATTTACGATTGTCTGTTTTTGATTGTTGTACCATAATTTCAGAACCATCAAATTTTATTCAAAGCTAGTTGAATGTTATCTGTATTTTTTTCAGCTCATGAAAAAAAAATAGATGGCAATGTAAACATGTGAACTTATAAGGTTGAATGACTTAGTGTAATATCATTTTAAATATATATTTTAAAAATAGTCAGTCTGTTGCTACACTGCAGCGCGTTAATCATGGAAACTTTATTTCAAGACAGTTTTTATAACACTAATATAAAGTTTAATCTAAAAATTGTTTTTAAGTAATTTGGTATTTACTCTAGAAATTACAATACTGACTGTAAAGTTTATATTTCTGTTAAAGCAAATTATCAAATATATATATATCAATTTTTATTATTGTCATTTTTCAGGTTTGGGAAGCAGATCCTAGCATGAAAATGATTATTATTAAAGGAACAGGAGAAAAGGCTTTTTGCGCTGGTGGTGATATTCGAGGTAAATATGTTTTATTAAATAGAAATGTGGGAAGTAAGTTCATAGAAGTTTGGTGCTTGTTAAACTTTTTCTTTTCTTTTTAAATTTTAGAGGGAGGAAGTGATGGTAGTTTTTTATTAAGCTCAGTTTGTATATGTTTATAACTGAATGTTCTTTCCTCAAAGGCATTTCGATATAACAGTAAAATATTATACCAAAATTTGTTTTTAATGTTTTTATTTTGGTTTAACATTTTTTATAATACCAATAGTTTATGTATCTGGCAGATAAACTGTTGTTGTTGTTTTGTTTTCTCTGTTCACTGAATATAATATGATTAACTTACAAACTTTTCTGTTCTAAACCATTCTTTCATCATTCCTTGACTCCAGGAACAAGAGCTTTTAACAACTGTGCTTAATCATCAGGCCAGTTCTTTGGATGAGTAAGATAAACGTGTTGGATATTTCAATTCATCCTGATTGTTAACAGCATCTGGATTTGTGCCTTTCTGTTTCTTTCTATAGGCAAAAATGTTTTCATTAGGATTATAAGGTTTTTGCAACATGAACTCATTCCTTAGAAATAAATTTTTACTTTTACATTAATAACTAGTTAATTTGAATCTTCTTTCTAAAAAACGCACACTTCAAAAGTCATTATCGTGAAATGACTTACTTGAGTTTGTATGTGAACTTCTTAGTTTTATTTACATTCAGATCTTTTTAATTCATAGTTAGTAAGTATTGTTATTAACAGGTGTCTTGATTATATTCAAATATAACTGAAATATATTGTTTAGGAAGAACAGATTCAGCTTATTCTCAGGTTTTCTTTATCTGTCATCAAAGAAGTTCTAAAATATACTGTTTTTTTTAAATACACCTTTCTCATGGGTTATGCTAAGACTATGCTCTTGTAATTTATATTAGCAGGCCAGTAGAGAATGTGTCAGTTTCTTTTCCTGAAGACATTCTAGGCCTTTTTAACCCTAAATCCTACCTCCTTTGTTATGTTGTTCTTAATGCATTGGCTTTGAGAAACTTGGTTGTGAGGTCATTTAAATTCTATGAACCTTCAAACAAAGAGGAATTTCTTCCTTGTTCTTTGATAGCTCTTTCATTTCAGGCCTTTTTTTAATGGAGAATGAACTCCAACTGAATATTGTTAACTTGGGATTTTTTACAGTTGTTTCTTTTTGTATGCGAGAATGGAGTGAGTTCTTTACATTAGTTCATGACATACATTTTACTGATTTATTGCTTTCTGTTTTGTCTCTATACAGTTTATTCCCACTGGTTCATTCTGGGCTGGTGTGCTGTCCGTTAGCCATCGCCTTCTCTCCTCCTTCTCCTATATTTAGCTTTTTTTTTATTATTAACTTTTGAGCTAAGAAATTCAATAATGTATAATACTAAAATTTGAATTACAACCTAGAATTTGATTCTAAATTTATAGACATACATTCCTAAAATAGTAGTTTAATAAAATTTTAAATGTAAAGCTACAAAACATGATGACATGCACTCTGACCCTGACCATTATGGACAGGTTTAATTAGCATGTCAAACTGCAAACTTGAGGGTTCATCGTTTTATGTCCAATTGCTGTAAAATCCCACCCCACACTTTAGGGTCATGGGAGTTTTATAACAGTGCCAATCCTTTCCAAGTGTTTGATCAGATCGGAGTAGCCAAGGAACTAGCAGTAGGTGCATATTAACTAGTTTCCTTCCCTCTAGTCTCTAAATGCCTGAAATAAACATAAAAGCGGAATAACATTTGTGTGTTTTATGCATATGGATGTTAGAGAAGTATAATAATGGAAAGTGTAATCTTAAAAACTGGCATGGATCCGATAAATGTGAATAAACAAAGAATCACAAGACTACTTCCCAAATATTTATTGCATTACTAAAATTTAGAATTTTAGGAGGTCACCACCTTTTTACATAGAGATCTAGAAGAAATACTTCAGGACTAACAAAAGTTACATAACATGAGGACACAAGGGACTGTTTGGTCCTTCAAGGCTGTCCCTGCACATTCACACTAGCAAAAAAAAAGTAAAAACTTAAACCCACTTTTTATCTTTAAGGAAATTATCAATTCTCCATTTTAACTCTTGTAAAGTGACAGCTTCCTCTACTGCTGATGGCAACTCATTCAATAAGCCATACAACCTGTGTAAAAAAATATAATTGTCTTAACTGGAGTCTAGCATGTTTTTTCCAAAGAAATCAAAGGCTTTTGTCCTATCAATCCCTCAAATAATCTTGTAAACTTCAATAAGATCAGATCTTACTCTTTTCTTTACAAGAGAAAATAAGAGATCCTAACGTATCCTTACAACAACACTTCCCTCCTCCAAATCGTCCTAGTAACCCTCCTCTGAACCCTTTCCAATAAATCAATATTCTTTTTAATAGATAAGTAGAAAAAAAGTGAGACCTGACTAGTGATTCTTACGTAGGGAGAATTACCTCTTTTGACCTGTAGGGGCCCGATAGGGCCTAGTGGTTAGGGTGTATGACCCCCACTCTGTGAGTTGCAAGTTCAAATCCCATCAGTGAACATGCTCTATCTTGCAGCTATAGGGGCATCATAATTTGATAATCAATCCCACTTTTTTTTTGCTAAAAGAATAACCCAACAGTTGATGGTAGATGGTGTTGACTAGCTGCCTCCCCTCTAGTCTGTTACTTCTAAATTAGGGATGGCTAGCACAGCTAGCTCTTGAGTAGCTTTGCTTACAAGTAAAAAATAAAATAGAATACTTCTAATTACATCTCTCAAATTCTGTTAGTTTTGCTGCTAGCAACAGCACACTGTCTTGATTTCTTTAGTGTCTTAATACACACTATGCCAAGATGCTTTTGTTTAGTCATGCTGTTGAGTTGATTCCCAAATGCATTACCTTGCACTTACTATATAACTGAAGGTCATTTTCCAAATATATGACCAATTTACCAATTCATGTAAGTCATTCTGTAGTACCTCAATATCTCCAATACAAGCAGAAATTCCCAAGTGTTTAATGTCATCTGTAAATTTTACTAAAAATGCCCATGTCAATGTTATAAATGTAATGATCTCGTTCATTTGTGGCTGCAAGATAAGTGTTGGAGAAGATATTATTAAGATTTAGTTAGAAGTTTCAAAACAGTAAATATGTATTTTAGGAATAATATTTGAGCTGTAGTCACTTCTGATCTTTTTTTATTATTATTCAAGCTATTGCTTTAGCCACAAAGAGTGGTGACCCTTTAACTGAAGACTTTTTCAGAGAAGAATATCAGCTGAATTTTTTAACTGGTAGGTGAGGAATCATACATATTTTAACAGTTATAGTTTATCAAGTATAGAATGCAACTTAACTTCAGTGTAAACCATATTAAAATCTGTATTAGGTCCTAAGCTGTATATGTAATTAGCCAGCTAATCAAAAAATTTGTTTAATAAGTTAAATCCATAATGTGACAAGTTATATTTTCAAAATAATTCATATTATGTTTAACTGTGGCTTATAAACTACTGTTGGAACAGGGTTTCAGTCAATTGTCTTTTTTTTTTACATAGTGCATGTGATTACCAGTATTTATCACAATATGAATGTACACAATACTTTCTTTTTCTAATGGGTAAAATAAAAGTATTTGTTGAAATAAAAAAAAAACCTCATTCTATACATATAAAGGGTAAACGATCTCATTTATAGCCCATGGGAACAAATTTTGAAAGTTCCTAAATATTTTTTGTTTCTGAAAAATAAATTTTGCAAGCTAATTTTTTGCAATAATAGGTTTTAACTTTGTTTTACCATGTAATTTTTTAATTGAATACTACTTTCCATCTAAGTTCATGTAAAATATCCTGCCAGGGTAAATAACAATAAACATCTGTAAAAGAAAATCTCGCTATATTAGCATTGTGTGTAAAATGCTGAGTTACATGTCGTTAAAATATAAATAGCAAACGTATGGAATGAATTACTACAAAGAATATGGAAAAAAATTTAATACAACAGAAAACACTTTGGGCCAACAACTGAAATATTATGCAAAAATTTATTCAGATCAACAAAACACATAATTAATGCAGATCAGCATTGTTAGATAAACTGTGTATTTTATAGTGTATGGCTTTTATTGAAATACACAACACATTTACTATATGAACAGAAAGCTACGATCTCTAATAAAAGTGGGTTATGTACAGTGTAATCGGGGATAGCAACTTGTATATGTACTTTGTTGTCTCGTGATTGTAAATATTTCTTACACTTCACTATTGTAGGGGTGGCAGGTACCTTTTCAGTTTTCAGAAACCTCTTTTTTTTTTTGCTTGACTGATTGTGGTTAATGGTCATTGTCAGTATATTCTCCTTAACTAATATTAATGATATTTGAGCCACAAAACACTAAACCATATTAATTTTCAGAGAATATTCACTGGCACCAATATGATATACAAACTCTTTCACTCATAGTGCTGTGTACTACGTAATACTGTGATATAGTTTTAAGACATTATATTTTTCCACAAATTGCTTTAGTGTGTATAGGGTATTTGGAATGACTGAAAATGAGAGCCAGTCACATATAAAAAAAATTAAGAATGTGTCCCAGAGACACTGCTGAAATGAGATGTTTGTTGCACTTATTTATGATTGAAATAGATTTTAGTTTGGTTGTTGTTAAGCATAAAGTTACACAAAGGGCTATCTGTGTTCTGCCCATCATGGTTATAGAAACCCAAATTTTAGTGTCATAAGCCTGCAGACTTACTGATGAACCACCAAAAATAAATTTGATTTCTTACTAATTAATCTATTGACTGATTCATTAAATCTACACATAACTGCAGCAATGGGGGCAGCAATGTTTTTAGAGTTAAGTCATGACAGAAAATAATTAAATCACATTGTCTTTATAGTATTTTTGCATGTGAAAAAAGATTAAATGTGTGAACTTAATTAAACCCATTTCTTCTTTTATCATAGGAACCATCCAGCTTCCCTATGTGGCTTTAATAGATGGGATAACTATGGGAGGTGTAAGTACAATTAATTTCGAAAATGATACAAAAGATATCATACTTTTTGCACTCCCTATATTGATTAACTTTGTATAAATTATTTAAACTTTAATATGTAAAAGATTATCACTTAGTTTCCCCACACACTCGGTAGAAGTTTTCAGCTGAAGAAGACTCGAAGTCACTCATCGCACATATATGTTCTTACTTTTTTTCTCTTTGACAATATTTCTCAAGGGTGTCTAAAGTTATTGCTATTGTTTCAATACCACTGATTTCACATGTTTATCTGATGCAAACCTATGACTTTCTAATACTCGATTATCCAGAGAATCGGCTTATTTTGATCTCCTGTTTTATGAGGATTTTTGTTTTAACAACTCTTGATAGTAAGGTGTTACTCAGTTTGAATCATAAAATTAAATAATTAAAACAACTTGTTTCTATAAAAACATAAGTAAACAGTTTACTAGCTTAAAACTTATTCTCTGGTCTTTGCAATGTTATATATATATAAGGTAAATTAATACACACAGTGTAGTGGTGCTTGGGAGGCTCGAACTTTTCTCTTAACCATGAAATTAAAAGATTTTTGCAACCAAATAAAGACTAGAAAAAGTCTTATGTAGATAGTTGAATAATTATCTTTAACCTGAACTACTTAAAAAAATTGAGAAATACACTTATTTTTGTTATTCACTCAGTATCCATTATAATATTCACTGGTTACATTTATCAACTATACTATATCACTTAGAAATTGGTGGTTTGAAAGTGAATCCTCTCCATAAAAAAAATCCTGGTTCACCTGAATATAGTATTAAATTTGGTTACAATATTTTCAACTGTGATATCTATTTCACACAACATGATTTGAATGAAAAAATTTAGTCTCTGCTTTTTATGAATATAGGTTTGCTGATATTAAATATGTATATATACAAATCTTTACAGTAAGCACACAATAAATATCTAATTTCAAATTTGGGAGGGCAGTATATGTAACATATATATACTTCACACTATGATAAAACAAGTTCATAGAGGCTGAAAATATGACAACTACCTTAGAAATGTGCAATTTGTCTGTCTGGATGTGTTAAAAGAAAGTGTTTAGTTATTGAAGTTGTAGTGTATTGTGTTGCTACATACCTTGAGAAAGTGTTGAGTTATTGAAGTTGTAGTGTATTGTGTTGCTACATACCTTGAGAAAGTGTTGAGTTATTGAAGTTGTAGTGTATTGTGTTGCTACATACCTTGAGAAAGTGTTGAGTTATTGAAGTTGTAGTGTATTGTGTTGCTACATAACTTTTACTATGGCATAAGATTATCTATGTTTAAAATAACAAGTAAATGTAAATGCATAAATTAAAGATTACAAAACCAAAAAGCCTCGAGTGTTCTTACGAATGTGCACAAGTAAAACTCTGTTTAATATCAAACCTAATTATATTAGTCTTTGAAAGTAGAGGAAGAGCTTCTTATAAAAGAAAAAAAGTTGCTGTAATCAATTTTATAATATACAAACCCTGAAATATCATTTGTTTCAAAGAAATATTAATCATATCTGGAAAAGTTTGCTATAGATTCCTGTTGTCTAGGTACTGTTTCTATAGCCAGTGTTTTAATAAAGTCTTTCCACGACCAGGTGATTAAAGGTCTCGCCCCAATACTGTATCTGGTAAAGTAGTTATGCCAGGATGCACATGTCTGAAGAAAAATGGTATTAAGACATATATTAAGTGAAAATTCTTGAAATATCATATTATATCCAACATGAGATCAAGAGTAAGAAACTTAACCAGCTTAATATTTTTCTTATTATTATTTCTTTGTCTTTTACAAAAGAAAAATAGTTACAGTTTATTATTTTTGCTGATTTATCTATTAGATAAGGTATCATTGGTGTGTAAAGAATTTTCTTTCTATTTCTTAAAAAAATTGTCTTTCCTGTTTTAGAGTTTCTGTTGAAGTTTTTATTATTACAGGGTGTGGGTTTGTCTGTGCATGGGCAGTTTAGAGTGGCTACAGAAAAAACTGTTTTTGCCATGCCCGAAACAGCGATCGGTACGTAGTATATACATATATACACCTTTGAAATTCTAAGTATAGCATTTCATGTAATCTGTACTTAAATTTACCGGTCAGTATGTTTGTCTTTGATATAATTGCTACTAGATAATAGAAAAAATTAAAATGTAAAATGTTTGGCATACCATTCCTTGTAATCTCCAGCAGTTAGGTACATAAACTGATACTGTTTTTTGTTGTTTGTTTTTTCACATTACAACTTTCTCCTAATTGAAAATCTATTGCAATAAACAAGTCCACTGTGTAAAACTTTATAGTACAACTTTGTTCTGTGTTTTTAGTTTGTGATTTTCATTCAAGTAATTCTTTTTTTTAGTGAATAAATTGTTATGATAAGTAACAATCTTGTAAATACTTACTTCGTAGTTAATGCATTAATTTATTTATTATGTAGTATTTATTAAATTACATTTTGCATCAGGCTGTTAAGAAATATACCATGTCATTTGATACACCAACTCTATGAATTGTAAATCCAATTTTAAAATAATACATTGGTTATTTTAATAGTTTGGGAAATATTATATTTGTAAAGATATGAACTTACAGTTATTATGCATATTTGTATTGAAAAGAAATGTATTTTTACATATAAGTTGTTCACCTTATAAAACATGTTTAGTATAATAAATAGCTTATTATTAAAATAATCCAATACAACTGTATTCAGCATTCAATGAGGAGGTATTTATTATTTATTGAAGATCTTATAAGAAGCGTAGACTACTGTATTTTGTAGTTGGTAGTGACAAACACTGTTTATTCAATGTACTTGCGATATCATCATTTATTGTAACTTAAATGGAAATATATTGTTGCACATTCATAACTTGTATTCTTGTTAGTCCAGTTTGTGAAAGTACTGTGGAGTGATTTGATGATGATGTATATTTTGGGTGTGTTACTTCTATTCATTCAGAGTTGTGTTTTTGTTTGGGAAGGAAAGCACTATTTTAGTATGACATTATAGTTCTTTCCAAAACACTGTTTATCTCTTTTGAAAGTAAAAAGTGAAAAAAATATAGTTTATTACTATTTTTCTCTAATGAATAAAAAAAGTTATAAAGCTAAAATATTGTGGAAACCAGATTAATGAAACTTGTCTTGAATATATTTTGTTCAAAGGATTCTTTCCAGATGTGGGTGGAAGTCACTTTCTTCCTCGTCTTCCTGGTAAACTTGGTCTTTATCTAGCTTTGACAGGCTTCCGTCTCACTGGTCACGATGTTGTTAAAGCTGGAATAGCAACGCATTTTGTGAATAGTAACAGAGTATGTTAGTGAATTATTTACTTAGATTAAATAAACTATTGTAAACTTTGTTTTTCATTATCTTTACATGTCTTATCATTATGATGACAGGTTTTCATGCAGGTCCACCAGTGGATTAACAGTAAGTTACCAGGCTCACAATATTAAAAGCCAGAGTTTGATTCTTCACAGTGGACAGAGTGCAGATAGCTCATTGTGTTGCTTTGTGCTGAATGAACTATAACATTTTCATCCAATACAGTTTTAACTTTAAATACCATTTATTTGACAATTGTGAAGAATATATTTTTAATTTACTAAGAAATAAATTTCCAAAGTTTATTTGTGTTGTCATTAATAACTAGTTCAGTGGTGAATTTTCTTTCCTTTCTTTTTTTCTCCAACAAAATTGCTGTAACTGAGGGTAACATACTTAATGTTGTTACATTAGAGTGAGGATTGGCTCTGTGTGCAATACAACAGACACACAATATTCCTCCCACTGCAAGCTGTGGATAAACTGTAAGAGTGAGAGTCAATTCCTTAGTGTGGAAAGTAAGGTGCTGGTGACTGGCTTCCTTCTCTCTGATCAGTACTTCAGAATTAGGGATGGTGGCAATTACCCCAAGTAACTTTACCACCAACACAAGTTTAGTAATTGTGGAGTTTCTTTAAGAATGTGCTATTTGTGAAAATCTACAAAATACTAATTAAAGTAGTCATCTTCCAAAACATGCATTACCTTTAAATGTTACCTCTTGGTGTTTAGATTCAAGATTTTGAAACTGTTTAAAATTGTATCAACACTATTCTGATTAACCAGAGGGCACTATTAAACTAACATAGCTTCAATTGTATGTTTCACATGTGGAAATACCAAGATACATAACTTAGGCTTTAAGTATTTTGTAAAACAAAATTTAGTCCTGTAAGTTTTAGGCTGTGTAGTCAAAAATTAATTGAAAACTTTCAAAATGTATCGGTAATAATTTGCTAAATGTTTACAGAAATTTAGAGGCAAAGGACCAATCAGTTAGTATATTCTGTGCAAATACGATACATGTGATATTTGTTGGTAGATCTACATTCAGGTACTGATGACACATGACTGGGCTTTTATGGCAATAAACCACTATTTAATCAACTTATTAAAGATATTGTTGTATTTTATGTTTATAAATTTTCTTTCACTACATTTTAAAATACACATCATGAAATAGGTGGAACTGTGCGTGACTGTTATTTCAGTAAAATTGTTATTTACAAAAACAAAGATCATAAATGTCCACAAAATGCAATATAAAACATTGCATATGTTCATTTATCATTCATATTTATAGATCAAAGCTTTAGAAGAGGACCTCGTAAGGATGGATTCTCCATCAATCCAAGAGATTGACAGGTTGTTATGCAAGAACCAAGAACAGGTAGTTTAATATTAACAGATTTTAAATGGGTTTTTTCTTCAACCCCAGAATTAATAAATCATTATAATTTATTGTATTAAAGTGAAACACTGAGGCTGACTATTATTATTGTGCTCAGAAATAATCAAAAACTGTTTATGAATTGGTCAAATATATTAATTTATCCTAGATCTTGTCATGACTTGCTACTGAAGTACAAAACACGGCTAGTTCCCATAATTCATGCAGAATGTTGGTGAAACTAAATATTTAAAACATTTCTACTTCTAGTCCCTATGGTCATTACTCAGTGTACAAAACTCCAAAAACATAAGTATGTGATTGTCATTTTGACAGACTTGTTTATATGAGAGTAATTAATGCAGCTACAATACTATTGTGTTGTACAAGCATTGTTGTAACTAACTTCAGTGTAGGCTTATTAGCACCAGTAACATCATCTCATTGTATTCTTAATATAAAAAATAACCTGATTAGTAACTACAGCCATTTTGTCAGAGATCAAGGCCAGTGTATGAGATTATTTCACATTATTTCTCACATTGTAGATGGCCTACATTACATTAATGAATAACTGAACAAAGACTTAAGCTTTTAGAAGACATATTGAAGTTGTTACATGAAGTAGTAAGTGAAATCATTGTCTTGGTGTGAGTTAGCTGGGTAATTTGCTTGTGCATGAAACAGAACTCGAAATGTCTAGCACTCAAAACATCTAGTATGTATTTTTTTATGGCAACCTCATAAAAACATTTGTGAAAACAAAAGACTGTGAATGTGTGTTTGACATCAGTTAAGATGATAAAAATGTATTAACAGTTTCTGTGATGCACTAAACAAAAACATTTGTGAAAACAAAACAGAAGACTGTGAACATGTTTTGACATCACAGTTAAGATGATAAAAACCTATTAACAGTCTCTGTGATGCACTAAACAAAAACATATAAACACATAAAAACATTTGTGAAAACAAAACAGAAGACTGAATATGTTTTGACATCACAATTAAGTTGATAAAAACCTATTAACAGTCTCTGTGATGCACTAAACAAAAACATATAAAAGCATTTGTGAAAACAAAACAGAAGACTGTGAACATGTTTTGACATCGCGGTTAAGATGATAAAACCTATTAACAGTCTCTGTGATGCACTAAACAAAAACATTTGTGAAAACAAAACAGAAGACTGAATATGTTTTAACATCACAATTAAGATGATAAAAATGTATTAACTTTTGGTGCATGCAATAAATAAATCCTAGATTGTGTTTATTTTTGTTGGAAATCAAAAAACAAATGATTTATTTATAATTGTAACTCACTAATTTTACAGAGCTTCTTTAGTTTTAACTGGTTATTAATTGTTCTTTACTGAGCTTTTTCTTTCAAGTCATTGTTGTATAAGGATCATTTATGAGTCGTGTTTACCACTGGTTGAGTTAATTTTTCCAAACTTCTTGTATTGAAAGTTTAGCTGATATTTTCAACGTCATGAAATGTTCTGTTTGTTTCCTTAGTGTGATTTTAGTAAAGGAAATACAAATTTTGTGTTTATTTAACTTCATCTTATCTGTTAAAAAAAACGTTTAATATTACAGTCTGTAATTGAAAAGAAGGATTTTGTCCTTAAACATACCCTGGGAAAAATCAACACCTTGTTTGAAGGAGACAGTTTGAAAGTAGTCATAGAAAACCTGACTAAAGACAATTCAGAGTGGGCCAAGCAGCAACTACAAATTTTGGCTAAAATGGTAAGGTAATAATTAATTGTAAGTCTTTCATTGTTGTGTAAGCATTTATATCTGCATCTAAGATAACACAAATGTTTGCCACTAACTAAGATACATTAGTTTGTCAGTGTAAGATTAAAGATTTACAACCTTAAAATCCTGGGTTTGATTCCAATTTTTATAGTAACTTCTGTGGTTGATTGGGTACAGATATCCCATCATGTAGCTTTGTACTTAACAACAAACAAACAAAAAATCAATCGGTTAAATTCACCATTACTAAACCTGAAAATTATTAGGCATTTTGTGAGTTTTTGTGTATGTTTCAATAAAGCAGATCAATCTGTTTTATTATAGTCACCAACATCTCTGAAAGTCACCTTTCACCAGCTTGAGTTAGGAAAAAGTATGACACTACAAGAGTGCTTGAAGATGGAATACAGAATTTCTCAAAGATTTATGAAGGATCATGACTTCTATGAAGGTGTTAGATCAGGTAAGTTGTTTCTATTTTGTGAATCTCAAACTAGTCAGAACATTAAAGTAGTCACCAAGTTATGCAAAAATATCAGGGCAGTAATAAGTTAGTCATCATTTGGTGAAAGTATTGGAAGAAGTTGTTATATTTTTTACTAGTACTAGTTGAGGGTGTCCATTAAGGAAGCCAAAATTGTATACAGGATATTGTTAGATAATGTTCCCTTTATTCTTTTGTTATTCAATCCCTAATGACCTCATTAGATATTAATTGTACATTCTGCTTTGTGGAAAGTAATAATTGACTCTTTTAACTGATTAAGTACTTGTGTCTTTGAACTCAAACCCAAAAGTCTATAAAAAAAAAGTGGAAATACAAAAGAAAACAGCCCATGTACACCATTGGACAGTTTCCAGTTACCATACAAAATATTTATGATAATCAAGCCACCCAACTCTGGATGATGTAAGCCAAAAATCTATAAGAAATTGGAAATGTGTCTTATTTCAAGAGCATTTTATCCCACTTTTCTGACCAAAATCATAAACCACGATAGCCCATGTACACCATCAGATAGTTTCCACTTACCCTACTAAAAATTACAGTAATCGAGCCAGGCAACTCTGGGTGATTGATGTTAATACACACATACACATAATGGATCGTCCTTATATTAAGGTGAGCATATCAATACAGGTAAATGTTTGTTGAATTATATATTGGGATAATTAATGAGGTTGTCTATTTTCATTCTTCTAATTTTTTGTAATCATAACATTTATTCAGATTTTAGGCAATTACAGCTTCTTCAGTAAATAGGTATCTTAATAACTTACAACCTTGAACTTGACTCACAGAAAGTCCTTAAGACTGCTACAAAAGTATTGGAAAATTATTTGTAGTTTGTATTTGTAAAACTCTGGAACTGAAACAAAAAGTTATTCAATGTTTTATTCACACAATATTATGAAATATTTCTTTTAAATAATTGTCCTGAAACATAAACTTGTATTAGAATAGTAAAGTGTAATCAGTACTATTTTTAATAAAAGAAAAAGTTGATGATATTTAAATTAGACTTAAATTTCTAAATGAAGCCTTAAATTTACTTTTGATATTTATGCACAATTTCAATCTCTGTATTCTGAAGTGTTGATTGACAAAGACAACAAACCTGTCTGGAAACCAGCAACAGTTGAAGAAGTGAATGATGATGTTATAGAAGCATATTTTGCAGTTCTTCCTAAGGACAAGGAACTAGCTTTATGAGTTCAACAGACATGTTGTAGATAGTGAGGACCATAGTGATTGCTCTAGAATTGTGATTACAGTGTGTTTAAATACAGGGAAGATGATACTTCCTTAGTGCTGCTCGGATTATCATCTGTAGTTGATTTTATTCTTTGGTACTTCTAACATATTCCATTTGTTATCTCAAAAATTCATACAGGAAACCTTTATATTGTTATTATTAATAGTTTTTTTAATTCTATTTATTTAAAGGATGTCATAATAAATTCTACAAAGTTCTGTCTTCGGTGGTGGTACATTATATTTTCAAACCTGGAAGACTGATTTAATATGAACATTAAAAGGGCAATTTAATATGTATTTTTTAGTGTTTTTAGATAGTTTTTCTCATTCAAAATTAATGATTTTGAGATAAATTATATGTTTTTGTTACTAATAGGTTCCTACTAACCAAATAATTTTGGGCCTGGTATAGCCTGGTGGTTAGTGAGCTCAACTTGCAATCTGATACTCACACAATTGAAACCTTTCAAAGAAAATGCTCACCTTTTCAGCTGTGAGGTGTTGTGATATGACAGTCAATTCTACTATTCATTGGTGAAATAGTACCCCAAGACTTGGTGATGTTGACTAGCTGCCCTTCCTCTAGTCTATCACTTCCAAATTAAGATGGTTAGCCCAGATAACCCTTGAACAGCTTTGCACAAAATTCAGCAAACAACAAAGTAATTTTGGTTTAATATCGAAAGTGTATCTTGTGCCCTTTGATACAAGCTCACTAAAAACCTGAAAACTTGGTTGTATAAATGTTTTTTGAGTACTAAATGTAACTGCAGCAAACTATGACGATTGTGATGTCATTCTGTCTTTATATCTGTCAAATGTTATAACTAACTATTCAAGTAAATTTAACATTAAACCTATATATCATTAATTTAAAAATTTAAAAATGAAGTTCACATAAATAATACATAGTTTTCAATGTACTTATATATTCAGACAGCAGACCTAATTTTAACTTTCTTTTCATGTTTTGGTTAGAAACTGTAATTATTACCTCTATTTTCTCAATGTTTTTTATTAAATAATATTGACTCAAGTACTTGCATGTAACTACTCAGTTACGGTATCTAATTAGTGCTTGTTTTTTGTATCTCAACCTTTGTCCATATACTTTTAAGTGGCCCGGCATGGCCAGGTGGTTAGGGCACTCAACTCGCAATCTGAGGGTTGCGGGTTCGAATCCCCATCCCACCAAAAACATTCTCTACCTTTCAGCCTTGGAGGTGTTATAATGTGTTGGTCATTCCCACTATTCGTTGGTAAAAGAGTAGCCCAAGAGTTGGTGGTGATAACTAGCTGCCTTCCTTCTAGTCTTACACTGCTAAATTAGGGACGGCTAGCGCAGATAGCCCTCGTGTAGCTTTGCGCGAAATTCAAAAACAAACAAACACATACTTTTAAGTACATTAGGTACCTTGACAGACACTTCAGGGATACTGTAACTACTGAAATTAAATATCATAGTAAGGAAATGCAAGGGATAAATCAGTTGAAACTGAGTGGCCTGATTAATTGTCATAATCTAACAGGGCAGTTAGCTTATTCAATATTTTTGTAATTTGTCAGTTCAGTAGCTACAAGAAAATAAATTAATGCACTAGAACTTGCTTACTCACTCTTCATTTTCTTTTAAGCTCTAACTTTGTTCACTTTAATTTTACACTATGGATGTTCCTACTATCACATTACATCTTGAAGTTTTTATTACAATTACATCAGAACTCAATTTATTCACTTTCAGCAGTACTAATTTCAAAATTGTCTGACTGGCAGTTACGTTTAGCAGAAAAGGTATTGCCGTTAAACTAAATTATTACCTTTCACCTGGGGCTGTACTTGCTAATTATATTAGTCTTGGTTATTAAGTTGTTTTTTAAATAGTTAATTATTAGTTTTACAGTAAGAATATTCTGGTATTTATTAGACTTCTAATATTAGTCTTGTCATATATTAGTCTTGGTTATTAAGTTGTTTTTTAAATAGTTAATTATCCTGCTATAATTGTTTTTTTTCTTGTACTGTTCTCTCTAATGTTATTTCCTTTATACTAATTAGGACTTTTCTGGCCTTCACTTCTTCTGTTATTTATTTGTTCATTTCAGTAGTATTTATTATTTATATGTAGTTTGAACTTAGAGACAACAGCAGTTTTCTTGCAAACAAAAACACCAAAATAGTTATTTTAAATACTAATTTAATTTATAATCTTACACTACAGTGAACTACTACACATATTAACTGGTTTCTTTTTTCTTTAGATTTTTTAAAAATTTAAAATAAGTTTCAAACTGTCTATGAAGTATCTGAGGAGAATTGAAATATTTTTGGAAGAACATTAATGGATTAGGTGTCTTTAAAGCATCTAAATATGCTCTGCTTGCCAAGCAACATTGGTATTTGAGAGTTTGTATACTGGAATAAGAGTAGCCGAGTAACTTGACAAACGCTAAAAGTAACAACAATACAATGTGTAAAATCTAATGTCCAAATTCAATGTGTAAAATAATTGTGATAAACTGAGATGTTATTATATTAATTTTCCTATGTTTAAATTGGCAACTTGAGTAACTAGTGCATTGGGTTAACACACTATGTAATGAATCAGAAAAGCAAGCATGTAAGCCTTTTATATTAGTAGACATTTTCTGGTATTTTTATAATATTCTTCAACCATGCCTATGTGTGTGTTTTATTATTTTGAATTAATTTTCATTTGGCTGTGTGAATTGTAATTCCTAAAGATGACATAAAAAAAGTATGGCTGTCTGCAAGCATGTAAAATTATGAAGTGCGCAGTTTGGTGAAAGGATTAATTAATAGAAGTTTCTGTTTTCTGATTTGAAACTTGAGCTAAATCAAGTTTTTGTATATTAGTTAGGAAAAATATCAATCACCTTTTTCTTAGGGTGAAAGGATTAGAGAAAGAAGTAATTGGAATATATATTAATATTATAAATTTAAACACTATCTAAATAGTTAAGTTAATATTTACATCAAAAAGAAGGATTACATTACAAACAGCAAGACCAAACCTATGATGAAATAGAATCTATTTATAATACACAACAAGCCTTAACTAAAACAGTTATCAGGGCAAAGCCTCACACGAAAAGAAAAGAATAATGAAAAAGATAGCAAGAAGTGGGTGCTCAAGCACACAATTACATCGCTCTTCACTTCCCATAGACAGTTTTTGGAAAAATATTTCTCTCAGAAGAAAAGGTTCTACCATTGGGGTAATAAGTAAGAAAATATTACTTCCTGAAGTTGACATTCCAGCCCCCATTATGATAATTAAAGCTAGCTTTTGTGTTATATTAGTTCAGATAACTCGGTTGGGATTTTATTCTAGTATAATTGTCTGTTGTACTACTAATATCACTTTATTGATTTGAGTTTTTACTACCCTAATGTGAGCTGAAATGCCAACTTACGGATGTAAGGTTTTTTACCACCCAAATGGTAGAACCTTATATATATATATACACGCACACACAGAGATCTTATAGAAAAGCAGTTGAAATAACAATTTCATACGTCCAAGTTTTTTTTACAGTTGGTGTTCCTATAGCTAACAATCTTATTTTTTCTGTGTTTATAAAGTTAAAAACATGTATCAATGTATCACTTTGTGATATAGGCGGTATGTATATGTGTGTGTATATTTACATACATATACCCCCTGTAACTTGCTCTAGTAGTAGTGCTTATAATGAGTTGTCAAGAAAATGTTGAATAAACGTAATAAAAATAATGCAATTTTATTGTTGTCTGAGTTGTTACATGTTCACTGTATAATGTTTTATATAGTTTAGCATGAACAGTGGAAAATATATAAAGAAATTATAGGAGAGTGTGTGCAAGCACTCTATGTAGATATGGCATGGACGCCCTTCTTAAAGCAATACAAACGTCATCTGCTAGTATAGTTGCTCTATCTCCGGTGTATATGCCGCTTTTCAGCTATCCAGAGTGTCCCAAAGTCGAAAAGCGGCGAAGAGTCAAAACCGAGATTTCTTATTTTCGTTCATCATCATTTTTCTTCAACAGACCTAGCGCCTACCTAGTTCTAGCAGTAACTATAATTTTATCAGCATCTGATAGGGCAAAACAGTCATCACGATCTTTGAGTGCCAATTTTTTTATTATTATGTATGAAATTTATAAGGTTTTAAAATATACTATAACCGAGTAACCCACTTACGCCATCTTATAAAAAAAATAAACAAATGCTGGGAAAAAAATCTAATTAAAATTATATGTAGGGCTGGCTACAGAACTTAAAAAAAAAGGAACCAAACAAGATAGTGATGGAGATGGACATATCACTTGATCCCGCTAATGATCACATAGTAGACTAAGCCGCCTATACTTTACATGGAGAATAAAATCCCTACATTGCTGGCTTCATCACTGGTAAAACAAATAGAGCCAGAATTTCCAATCGTCACATGTTACTCCATGTAAAGTCGAATATTCTGCTATCAGTGCTATGTGATCATTAGCTGGATCAAGTTATATGCCCACATTCATCCTTCTTGTTTGTTTCCTTTTTTCAAGTTCAGTAGCCAGCCTTACATAGCCTTTTTATTTATCGATTTTTCTAATATTTTTATTACCTACACCTCAATAGCATATGGCTTCACAATAAATTTCATTTAATTGTAGTAAAATACTATTAAACAGTAGGCATATTTACGGGATGTCAATCCCACTATTCGTTGGTAAAAGAGTTGGCTGTGGGTGGCGATGACTACCTGCCTTCCCTCTAGTCTTACACTGCTAAATTAGGGACGACTAGCGCAGATAGCCCTTGTGTAGCTTTGCGCGAAATTCAAAGCAAACAAACAATACACTGATTCTTGTAACTGGTGAAAACATAAAGATACTTGATATGATGCGATAGAGGGGAACCTGCCGATAATGAACGGTGTTAGAAATAAGTTGATAATATGAATTTAAAGGGAAGTTCATTCTATTGTAATTTGTTATTGGGCTACTTTTCTACCAACGAGTGGTTGGATTGACCATCATATTATAATGCCCCTATGGCTGAAAGGACAAGCATATTCCGCGAAGTATATTCTAATTCCTGACCAGCAGATTGCAAGTCGAGCGCCCTACTCACCTGGTCATGTTAGGCCCCATTTTTAATACATTTTTGAAAGATTGAGCAGAAACTTGTCAGAGTTGGTAAACATTTCATTTTTTGTATAGTATTGTGTTGCATATTGTTTTTATGAGCATGCTTTTGAGGAGCTTTTGATGAATTGGAAAAAAACCTTCATAAGTATTTTATAGTCCCCATATGGATCAGCTGTAAGCTCTTCAAGACTTATAATGCTAAATTACGAGGTTTTATCCACGTGGTAGGCATACCGTCAATAGCCCAATGTGCATCTTTGCATTTACCTACAAAATAAATCTCCTGCTGTGGACAAAGCTCAACTAGCCCGTTTTGTGGCTTTGAGCAAAAATAAATAAACACGTTTATTATAACTGGATTTTATGCCGTTAACATGGGCCTGGCATGACTTGGTGGTTAGGAGGCTCCACTCGCAAACTGCGCGTTCGAATCTACTTCATCGACTACGCTCGTCCTTTCAGTGGGGGGGGGGGGGAGGCTTTATAATATGACGGTCAATCCAACTATTCGTTGGTAGAGGAGTGGCCCAAGAATTGGCGGTGGGTGACTAGCTGTCTTCTCTCTAGTCTATCACTTCAAAATGTAGAGACAGTTAGCACAGATAGCCATTGAGTAGCTTTGCGCTAGATTCGCAATCTGTGGATCAGGGATTCGAATCCCTACCATCAAACATGTTCGCCCCTTTTCGTCGTTGGGGCATTATAAGGAGACGGTCAATCCCACTATTCGTTGGTTAAAACATAGCCCAAGAGTTGGCGGAGAGTGGTGTTGACCAGCTGCATTCCCTCTGGTATATCACTGCTAAATTATGGACGGTTATCGCAGATAACCCTCGAGTAGCTTTGCACGTAATTTAAACCAAACCAAGTTATAACACCTTGTGGCTAAGAAACGAACTGCAACTTTCCCTGTTAATAAAATTGTTTCTGTTTAATTTACATGTTTTGAGGCATCTTATTAGACAAATTATATGAATTATAATAATTATTTCGACATCTTGCTGTGTATCCCTCTCCTTAATATTAGTAATAAACTTTCATGAATGTATATTTTAATAAACACTCAAATTACCGAAATGTTTATAAACTAGCAATGGATTCGTGATGGGGAAACCGAAGTTTAATAATGAAGATGACGACGGTTGATAAAACATAAAACATTTTATTTACAAGGTTCGAACGTTTCGGAATAACTTATTACATCTTCAGCGAAATCTGAAAATTGTGTTACAAAGATGATTATTACTAAAATTATAATATAGTAACATTGGTTTACTTAGTAATTAAAAAAAGCGGTAAATGGACGGATGAAACAATGTTTATATGTATATTACACAACAGCCGAGTTAAGTGTGAAAATTTAGAACAATTTTAGATCTAAAGAGCTTTGTGAGTCGTTAAGGGTCGGGCGGTCTTTAGCTACGAGTAGACTTTCTTTAATGTGGAGGTCAAGTACTGAAGATCCTGTGGTGATGATAGAGAAATCGTTAAATGAAATATTGTAACCTGTGGTTTCAGAATATGAACGAATGGGTGAGTGGCTGGATTTAAGTAGTGGATGGTTGGTTCTGTTAGATACTCCTGAATGTTCACGAACTCTAATTTTTAAATGACGTTTCGATTTGCCAATGAACGTGACCTTACAGCCACTACACGTATATTTATACACGAGCCATGAACGTAGAAGTTTAGGTACTTGATCTTTGTACTGAAATAAGTGTTTAATGTGGAGGCTAAAGACTAATATACAGACCTAGACTAAGACTAATATACAGACCAGTCTAGGTCTGTATATTAGTCTTAGTCTAGGTCTGTATATTATTCTTAGGCCAGGTCTGTATGTTAGTCTTAGGCTAGGTCTGTATATTATTCTTAGTCTAGGTCTGTATATTAGTCTTAGGCTAGGTCTGTATATTATTCTTAGGCTAGGTCTGTATATTATTCTTAGGCTAGGTCTGTATATTAGTCTGAGACTAGGTCTGTATATTATTCTAAGCTGAATTTGAGGATAGAAGTTTTTTTATTAGGGACGAGAGTTGTTTTTTTAATTGGTAGGGATTGCAAACTCATAGAAGGAAGGGAGATAATAGGGGAACATTTGGGGACGGTGTGTACATTGATTGGTGGTTGGAATTTGTTGTTTAGGAAATTGCGTGTAATCTTCGTTAGAAAATCAGTCGGATAGCCATCATTTAGCATGTGTTTACGTAGAAGGGTAATTTTTTCGTGTAAAATAAAATAATTAAAACAAAGATTAAAAATTCTGTTCAACAATGATATAACCAGATTACGTTTGAAGAAGTTGAGGATAAAACTAGTGAAATTGGTGTAGAGGCCAGTAAAAGTTCTTTTATGACAAACAAAGGTTGAAAAGTGTTTACTTTCTTTGGTAATCCTAACGTCTAGGAAATGTAAAGAATTATTTTCCTCGAGTTCGGATGTGAACTTGATATTGGGAATTAAGGTAAGAAAAGAACTTGGAAACGAGGCTTGATTGACGAAACAAGAAAGTGTCATTAAAATAGCGTTTGTAAAGGAAAGGTTTGAATTCACCTGGGCAGTTTTCTAGCCACTTGCGTTCATGATAGCATAGAAAACTACTGGCTATCGTCGGACTCAGCGGGGATACCATGGCGATTCCATCTACGTGGTCATAAATGACATAATTAAAGAGGAAATGGTTTTACTTTGTAGAGAGGACAAAAAGGTCCAGGAATCGTTTACGGGTGAAACAAAGATACTGTTCAGTGTCGGTGAGAAAGAGAAGGTCCACGATTAAATTTAAAGTTTCATCACGGGGGATATTGGTATATAGAGATTCAATATCAAAACTGACCATAACATATTGATCACCAGAGATAATTTTAGAGATTTCAGAAGCAAATGTAAAAGAGTCGGTAATCGTAAATCCGTTCAAAATGAGGGGTTTAAGGATGGGAACGATAAATTTTGACAGGTTATAATTGCAAGAACCTACAGCTGAGAGAATAGGGCGGAGAGCGTATCCAGTTTTGTGTACTTTGGATAGACCATAAAGAATACCGGGTTTGGTGCCACATGGGGCAATTTGTTTAAAAGTCGTTTCAGAGATAATATTTTGACTTTTGAGACTCTTGAGGAAACATAGGATCTTATCTTCTCTCTTAAAGATGAGGGATAATAAGTCTGTATGTAGTTTATAAACTTACAAGGGTCACTGAGCTGGTGGTTTATTTTATCAATATAATCAGTTTTTTTCATAATGACAATACTATTGCCTTTGTCTGGTTTAGTAACAATAATGTCTTCGTTTTTGGACAGAATTTAAGGGCTTGTAGTTCAGCATCGTTTAATGGAGAGGTGTGACGATAGAAATTATATAAGTAGAATGAGGAAAGAGCAATGTTTTTTAGTTTGGTTTTTGTAAAATCTTGCGCTGTTTCTTTGTTCGATTCAGTTAACACTGGAAAGGAAGTAAGGGTTCTGTAAGCTTTTTCAAAAGTGTAAACATAATTAGCATAGTTTAGTTTGAAAGCTGGAATGCTAAAGTTAAGGCCTTTGATTAGGGCTTGCTTATAAATATCATCAAATTGAAGATCACTCAGATTAAATATTACATTATCAGGATTAAAACCTGGAGATGAAGGTTAACAAAGTCGTAGTTTTTGGAGTTTTCTATTTTGAACTTGTTCCTGTCTGATTATTATTTTCTGGTTATTCTTATGGATTTAGCACGTCAAATGTACGAAATGTACTTTTGAAGATCTTAGCGTTGGCGTTCTAGGTTAGATAGATGTTGTCGATAGTGCTTATGCTTCAGTTTAAGTTCTTCCTCTAGAAGTCGGTGTTGGCAGGCGGAGTATCCAGATGAGTTCCGGAGTTTGTCATTTGCTACTTTGAAACGAAGGAATGATGGCGTCAGTTTATGTTGTCTGCATTCTACAAGAAACTAGATATCGAGGGCAGTTTTTAGTCTTTAAATCGATCTTTTTACACCATCTCAAGAGCCGAAGGGTATTGGTCCTATACTGTCTAGTTATAACATTAGTAATGGATTCATGATGGGGAAACCGAAGTTTAATAATAAAGATGAAGACGGCTGATAAAACATTTTATTTACAAGGTACGAACGTAACGGAATACCTTATTCCATCTTCAGCGAAATCTGAAAATTGTGTTACAAAGATGATTATTACTAAAATTATAATATAGTAACATTGGTTTACTTAGTAATTAAAAAAAAGCTGTAAACGGACGGATGAAACAGTGTTTATATATATATATTGCACAACAGCTGAGATAAGTGTGAAAATTTAGAACAATTTTAGATCTAAAGAGCTTTGTGAGTCGTTAAGGGTCGGTGGGGGGGGGTCTTTAGCTATGAGTAGACTTTCTATAATGTAGAGGTCAAGGTCTGAAGATCCTGTGGTGATGACAGAGAAATCGTTAAATGAAATATTGTGACTTGTGGTTTCAGAATGTGAACGAATGGGTGAGTGGCTGGATTTAAGTAGTGGATGGTTAGTTCTGTTAGATACTCCTAAATGTTCACAGACTCTGGTTTTTAAGTCCACATATTGCATCTAATTGAATAATTTTATGTTTTTATCTGTTACAATACTCAGTGTAAAGAACTTAGAAAGAAAAATAGGTAAAATCACTCATTTTCTATATAAAACATGCAAGAAACTCCAACAGTCATTGGCGTAAATTTTTTTGTAATATTGACAGTATTTTTGTTTGTGTGGATCGTATGTTATTAGTTTCCCGGCGGGTCAACGAAAAGTTTCCGGACTTAGAATGTTAAAATATGTGGTTCATTTCCAGCGGTTGTCAGAGCGCAGGAAATCCGTTGTGTAGCTATACACTAAAAATAACAACAATATATTTTATTAAGAGCATTGTACTCAATAAAGTCATGGACCCACAAGCAATATGCAATATAAATAGTTTTGAAAATTGTATTTACAAATACGATGGAATCTGCATATTGGCCATATGAATTTAGTCAATATCGGATAAGCTACATTCGTATTTTTGTCCTAATTGTTTGTATGTTATTATCTGTGAATAAAGAATATTATGTGACAGCATCATAAAATGTAAAAAGAGATGACAAGTATAGGCTACAAAGTTGATTGAGATTCGATAAATAATGATTAATCAAGTTTCTAATATCAGATTACAGGTGGCGTTTAAAATCACAACAATGATAAAAAATGTATATCTGTGTTCCAAAAAACTGTTCGCTAGACCAGATGTAAATGAAATGGTAAAGATTTTTATCATAATTTTTTAATTAATTAAACAGAAACATTAAAATACACAATATAAATCGAATATAAGTTGGTATATTATAGTTTATTTTAAATGCCTTCAAATGTTGATAATTCTGAGTAAGAGTAAGAAAAAACGTACTTAAAGTTAAAGCCTTAGGGCGCGGTCCGACTTACCTGTACTTAAGCTAAAGTTAACTCGATAGTGAAGTAAGATTCTAAATACGCCATATTTTGTTTTTAAATGTGACATACAGTAGTGAATTTAAACTTATAACACATTTTTGTTTTTAAAGTGAAAAATGTAGAAAATTATTTAATAATCCGTTAGTGTTGCATTATTTTATAAGAAGAACAAAAAAGAACCAGGTGAAGGCCATTCACTGATTCGGTTCAGGTCACTCCTTTCACAAACTACACAACCACAAATGTTTTTAGTTCAACCTATGATAAACGTAGTTATGAATAAATGAAATTACTGTGATTGTGTGTACAGTACTACAATCGTCAGTACATGACATAAAGTATAAGTATAGCCCTTTATACTGAACATATCCAATAAATGTTTACTAAATTTAAATTAGAAGTATCCACATCATCAAACTTATTTATATAAGTATGTATTTATAACAAACAAAATATTAATTTCTACAAAAACTGAAGTAAATTTGAATTCCTAAGTTTTAAAATTTTTAATTCATAATACTTAAATTTTCACTACCAACCTTATTTCACCCAATTACTTGAAAATACCTCCCAGGGGTAGTTTATAATTTTAGGCACCTGAATCAAGGGGCTTTGTGTTTTATAAACCAATAAACTTGAATCCAAGTCTTTCAACTTTTTCCATATCTTAAATCTCTTAAATAATTTACAATTTTTATAGTCTGCATATGTATACTGTTTTCAATTTCTTAAGTTCTTTTCCAGTCACTAAGATTGTTTGGGTCTTTCTAATTTAAAGAAATATTCACAATAGTTACTTAGAATACAAGTCTTAGTATCTTTAGCAAATTTGGAGAACTTATTGCACAAGTAAGCAGCTAAATCATTAACATAGGTAACTTATTTTAAAAAAGTTATAAAATAGACCCAGGTAGCAACATTTTACTAGTTGAAATAATGCTTACACGTATTTATTATAATCATATGCTTTTTACTTTTGAAGAAATACTCTTTAGCCTTTTCTTTAGTACCAAAGGAATCTAACTTTTTAATTAATGGTTTTAGTTTAAACTTTTTTAACATTGCCATAGAAGTTGGTTTGCTTAAAATTTGGAGATAAAAAAGGGGAAATTTTTATTTTTCTCTATTTATAAACACCAAAGATGATGACATTGTCACTAGTGTCCAAATGATATTTCCTAGTGAGTTGCTTTAACAAGAAAGCAATGTCTCAGTTTTAAGAAATATCTCTGCCTCACAAGAATATAATCTTTGTAATCAGTTAAAATTAAAGCACCAAACCTATTAGCAGGTTGACTTGCATAACAGTAAACATCTACAGCATTATGAACAACTCCCATCTTTTCCTCCTCTTTCTCTCTCATAAGCTATTCAATCCAAGCATTCCATTAAATTACACCTTCTTTGGTATTACTGTATCGCTTAAACTGTAATCTTTTTCACTGTACAGTGAACTTTGTTAGTCTGAACTTCAACGTTGCAGATTATTCACAATTCAGATGATTTTTTTCCATCTAGACAAATCTTTTCAATGGGAAATTTAATCAGTAATTCATATTTTTGTTCTGAATCTGAATAGCTATTTTTTTATAACAAACACACATTTTCTATGGATACATGTTTTGGTAATCCATAAATTACTCCACGAGAGTCAGTTAACGATTGATCAGAACAGGAAATGAGGTGATAATTACTGACCACAAAATACCTGTACTCACAGTGGATACCACTTTCGAACAATCTTTTATAAGAACAAACTTCAAAGTAGGGATGTATGTATAGACTATAAAACATATTGAGAAGTCATCAGAGTGATTATGATACAGTTATATCAAGTCACATTGCTCCAAAATGAAGATGCATAGAAATATCAACATATGATGTTGGGTTATACAAAAAACAATACATAACATATAATGTTTAGGGACAACAAGGGACCTATTGGTCCATCTAGGCTGTACCATCCTCTAAACTAAACTAAAACTATTAAATTAAGAAAAAAAGCTTGTTCTTATCATTCGTATAATTAACAAGTTTTTTCTTAAACTCACTCAGATTTACTGCTTGCACAACATCTGAAAGTAACCTGTTTCAAAGGCTAACTACCCTGTTAGAAAACTAAAACTCTCATAGCTGAAGATGATTCCTAGTCTGCCAAAATTTATATTTGTGTCCCCTAGTCCTACCATTCTCACCATTAAGTGTGAAAATAAAGATGCATCAATATTATCAATTCCCTTAACAGTCTTAAACACCTCAATCAGATCCCCTCTAACTCTTCTTTTGTCAAGAAAAAACAATTTCAGAGATCTTAACCTCTCCTTGTATGATAACCCATCCATCCCAGGCACCATTCTAGTAGCCCTCCTCTAAACCCTTTCCAACAATTCAATCTCCTTCCTGAGGTGAGGAGCACAAGACAACACAATACTCCAAATGTGGCTTAACAGTGACCTATACAATGAAATTATAACCTGTTTCAACTTGTATTCAGTATTTCTGAAGATGCAACCTAAAATCATATTTGCCCTACCACTAGCAATAGCACACTGCTTGGATGGCTCAAAAGACTGATCAACCATTACACCAAGATCCCTTTCTTTCGTAACACTGTTCCCATCCAAATTATACTTATAATTCAAATTATGATAACCCATATGCATTATCTTGCATTTATCATAATTAAAACCCATCTGCCATTTATTCGCTCAACCCACTAAATGATCTAAATCCTTTTGTAAATCAGCAGCATCCTCCTCACAGCCGAGCAACACCAAAAACTTTAATAAGCAAATTTAAGTAATTTATTGATCATTCCTTTACATATGTCATTTATGTAAATTAAAAAGAGCAAAAGTCTTAAGATTAAGTCCTGAGTTATCACACTTGTGATATTCATCCAGTTTGTTTGAACTCCATTTATAACAGTCCTCTGATTTCTTCTATCTCACCACTCTTTTACCCAATTAGCTAACTTATCCCCCACACCTATAGACATGTTTTTTTAGAAGCCTTTTATGTGGCACCTTGTCAAATGCTTTTTGAAAGTCCAGATACACCAAATCTACACCTTCACCCTCATATACATAAGCAGCAAACTTATTAAGTGACTTTGCAAAGTTTCTTTTATCAGTCTTTCCAAAACTTTTCCCACAACTGATGTAAGACTAACAGGTCTATAATTACTAGGACAATTTTTATCACCTTCCTTTAAAACAGGAGTAACATTAGCCAACTTCCAATCCTCTGGCACCTGTCCACTATTCAAGAACTAACAAAGATTAGTAGCAAGTGGTTCATATTTTTAATCCTTAATCTCCTTCAAAACCCTTGGGAAAATATTATCTGGCCCTGGAGCTTTATCATTCTTTAAACTTCCCAGCTTTTTCTTAAGCTCAAAATTAATGTGATCATCTTATTGTAATTTGTTTCCATCTATCAATTGTTCAAGATGAGGAATATTGCTTAAATCTTCATTTGAAAAAACAAAAGAGAAAGTAGAATTTAATAACCCAGCCATCTTATAATCATCAGATACAAGCCTTCCTTTATAATTTCTGAAAGGTCCTACCCCCATCCTAACATTTTGTATACCCTTAACCCTTTGACTGCTAATTAATCTTGTGGGCTATGGTCTGCCTTTGGCAGTTGCCATATACAGTGCATAGCTGGTACACTTAATATTTAGAGCAACCATAGTCAATGGGTTAATGTATTTAAAGAAAACCTTACTGTTAATTTTTACATTTTCAGCCACTCCTTTTTAGTACATCCTTTTTGATGTCTTAATTTCCTGTTTGACCAAATTCTTGATCTTCTTTTATCTTCTAAATCTCCTGTCATTCCAGTCAATTTAAATTTTTAATTTGTGATGCTTTTCTTAATTTTATCCCTTATACCTGTTGTGTACCAACCTATTTTTTTTTACTTACAGCCACCCTTTTCTTTCTGTAAGGCATATATTTATCTTGAATCTTTAAAAAATTTCCACATTTGATCAGTGTCTCCAAATAACTTAGCTGTCCATGTATTTTGTACTCTATAAGTCATTGGTTTGAACAAATAAATGATTTTTGTGAAGATAATGGCTTAATAAACCATACTGATTATACAATTTGGGTAATTATTGGTGACATATAAGGTAAAAAACTGATAAGTATATTGTTGATACAGTTGTTTTTTGTTTAATAGTTGCATGCCCTCTTAACTAGCTTACATCCATACATTTATTGATGTATAACATGCTGTTAGTAGTATTCAATGATGTGTCATAATATGGGAGAACTACTTCATTACAAATGCATTTTGGTTAATTTTTAGATCCTAACAAAAAATTTATAACCTATTGTCATGTCTTTAAAATAAGATTCATTAATACCACAATTGTCTTTTCTGCTAACAGGTACCAAAACATCTGATTCTGACATTTAGTGATAAAGATTTCTAGTATTTGCTTAAAATACAAATTGTATTTTTCTGAACTTTCATGTTAAAAAAAATAGATAAGAGTTTAACTTGGTAACCTCACATTTGTGAAAACTAAGAAATTACATCCAAATTCAGTGCTTGAAAGAAAATAAGCTGAATTTAAGAAGGAAGTTTTATATACAACAAAATGGATAAACATAAAAAAACTTAAATCCTAATTAAGGATACAGAATACTTATATTTCATTGGGGCTGAAAAAAAATATGGACACACTACTGCTAGTGGCATGACCACAAACCCTCTTTAAGATTTACATTGTTTTTGATTTTATATTAAAAAAAAGGTTTCATAAGTTAAAAAAAACAGTCACATTACATTTGTTCAAAGGTTTTATTTTTTTTGTGATGTTCCATATGTCATGTATCATTTGTTATTTTGTATTCCAATTATTATCAATTTATATGTTATCCTACATGTTCTGTGCATCATTTTATCTCGCTTTGCTATTCTGCATACTTATGTGCTTGTTTCGTTATTCATTGGTATTCCCCATGCTTAAGTATGTACAGTGGAAGACATGAACTTAATTAATAGTCCATACATTTGTTGAAGGTGATTTTCTGTAAAGGAAAATGTTAATTACTCAGCTAAGGGAGTTATATTTACAAATAAGGAGTTGTGTGTATTATGTTCTGAGTAGGCATCTACAAACAGATGGTACTGTTATATATATATATATATATATAGCTACACAATTATAATAACTAACTTTATTTAAAGCTGAAAAAAAAAATGATTCGTTAAAAGTGTGTGGACACCAGCCTAAATTACATACAAATCCTTACACAAATATCGTGGAATTTCATGTAACAGTTTGTAGTTATCGCTGTATTTTTAGCATAAAATAAAACCACTAAATATTGAACACTAGTGTTACTTGCACTGAGAATTAAAAATACTCTGGTAGCAACGTTCCATGTTCATTTTACAAAAAGAAAAACTGAAGAAAGTTCTTCTATAATTAGTAAGTAAATATGTTAACATGACAGAAACTCTTTCAGTAAGAGGGCTAAACTATTATCTCTGCCCATGGTGGGCTTTTCAACTCGTAGAATAGATATGAAAGTCATATTATCACATTGGAAATGCATGTTAGGTTTTGTAGAAATTGTTCCAGTTAATTTTGCTTTAGATACATGTGCCCTTCACTTGAACTTGAGTAAAATCTAAAGTGTTTTTAGTTATTATGATTATTTCGTGTAACTTCTGTTTTTCCTAGTAGTAAAGGCTTTTATTTTTAGGATTGTTGTTTTTCTTGAATGTGTACACAATCTTTATTGTATCATTCTAGGCTGTAAGTTCACAATAATGTAGTTCAGCTCAACTAGTGTTGACACACTAGCTATGTACACACATTATTTATTCTACAGGGTGGTTCAAAATTATCTTTCCTATCTTAAAATTTAATAATGAAATAACTAAAGAAATACAACCACACAGTTTTTAACATCTTGTAGCCCAACTCAAACAGTTTTTCTTGGCACACTTTTTTTCACTCCAGTGAATAGCATTCCTTCATAAAATGAAAACCGTGCAAGAAAAGGCTTAATGTAATTGATTAGCTGGGATGTACCAATTCCATGGCCTCCTCATTTGCCAGACATCACTCCACTAGACTTCTTTCTTTGGGGGTATGTTAAGGACATTGTATATTGCACACGTATAGCAAACATCACAGAACTAAAGACCAGGATAATGGATGCCATCCCAATGTAACTGTGGACATGTTGCAGTGAATGTGGACTGAAATTAAATATCGGTTAAACGTGCTGAGAGCTACTAATGGTGCATGTGTATAACTCTACTGAGATGTCAATAAAAAACCTGGAGTTGAGCTATGAGATATGGAAAATGTTGTTTTATTTCTTTACTTATTTAATTATTAAATTTTCAAATAAGAAAGATAATATTGAAACACCCTGTATTATTTTCAGGCAGTAAGTTCACAAGGAGGGTACCTCAGCTCAACCAGTATTGATACACTAATTATGAACAGTTATTATTTATTGTATTATTTTCAGGCAGTAAGTTCACAAGATATCCAGTTCAGCTTAGCCAGTAATTACATATTTTCATCTTAAGGTGTATATGTAGCAGCAACTTCCATAGTTCATCAGAAAAAAAAAGCTATTCATTGTTGGTGTTAATTCAAGACCATCAGTCCTTCTCCAAGAGCAAGGTACAGTTTTTTGTATATTCATTTTGATGATCAAATATAAGATTTGTAACTGTATCTATTTTCTCTTTATTGTATTTTTTTGTTCTTTGGGAATTTGGGTTTTTTGTCATAAATGAACTGTAGGTAGTGTGCTGTCAACTAAATCTGTTTGCTTTTTAGAAAAATACTTAACATCCTTTCCAATGCAAAATGTATCCATACACTCAGATCATAAAGATGTGTTCCAATTGGGAATTTAGAATTTCCAAGTTGGGTCCTTGGCATTAGAAAACATAGGAAATGTGGATCAACTTGAGGAAACAGTACCATCCAGAAAGAGACCTGTAATAGGTCGTACCCCAGCTGTGTTAAGTAAAATGTGGCAGCTTGTAACAAGTGAAAATTCATGAACACGAAGTTCAATGCCAAAAGTTGATTATATGATGCCCAGTTGTCTGCATAATCAAGAATAATCTCCATTTGAAAAAGCAACATGATTCACGTCTATACAAATTGCTTCCAAAACATATCTGTTCAACCATCCCATACCTCAAGCAGTGGGAAAATAAAACAGATACTCATGCTGTTTCACATGAAGACATATTGTTGAAGTCGCTAAACACAGAGCCTGTAGTTTCCTGTGTATTTGGACTATTGAAATACAATGATGCTGTGAGGCTCCAATATTGATTTAGTGTAATATGCTGAACCTCTATATTTATATAATATTTGAAGATTATGTAGCATTGATGTTAAATATTTATTTTATGTTATTCAGCAGACAAGTTGTTTAAAATATTAAAAATAAATATAAAGCCCATTCTACAATTTCATTTACCACTTGTCACTTGAAAATTTTTTCTTGAAACTAGCATACAATTTTGTTACTTGATTTTTGAGCCAATACTTTCTATCTAAAATGTACTTAATATTTCACAGCTTTCATGATTTTATCTTTTAATACATCTGTGTATCTAAGCAGTTAAAATTGTATCAACTTGGTCTTCATACTGTTAACCCATTTAAACAAGTTTCATTTGTTAACATGTCTCTTTCTGTTGTTCTTTTCTTTATTTCAGTCTTTGTCCTTCATCAGTAAAAAACATTTCTGTATTCTTTCAACGAATATTGTTTGAGATGGCCTTTCCTGAAATTGCTTAGATCTACCAGACTTTTCATCTTGTCCTTTTATTCTGAAGTAGCTACAAATTTCCTAACTGGTTTGCTTGCATAGTTGTCACTGGCAATTTAAGAATGCTACAATAACACAGTTACCTTATCTCTGCAACAAATACATTCATTTGAGAACATATCTATCATCTACATGCTACAGTTGTAGTGATTTATGGTGGTGGAATGTAAAAAAACAAGACTATGTAACAGTATTACAAAAAATAAACTATATTTTGAAAAAAAAACAATTGAATACAACTGCACTTGTGGAAAAGTATTACACTGATGATTGTGAAGCTACAGTAATGTGGAAATGAACTTGTAACTAAACATAAGACTGTTTGTACTGATCTATTTTTAGAAAGATAACACATAATCAGCAGCAAATATAGATGAGAATTCTGAAATGGTATTATCTCCTTTCACCCAAAGCTGTCTCGATCCTGGTTTGCCCTCTAAGCATTGCTAAAAAAATTTTCACTAACAGTCCACCAATATCTTATACCCCTTCATTTTGTGCCATTTCAGAACTTGCTGATCATGTGCCTACCCTCCAACAATCATACTGCATCATCTATACTAGCACAGCTAGCTCCCTCTACTATTCTAGCACAACCCTCACTTTCTCGATTGGCATTCTAGTGTATAGACGTGTGTTTTAACTTATTCTACATATGACTAGAAGATTGTGATTGTGCTTGATTACAAATTTATATCAGTTTCAACTTCTTGTGTTTGATCTCCATTGTTTCTACTCATTTGTTTTAGAAATATTTCTGTTTTCCAAATTCTTAATTGTTCATATAAATTCGAGACTTAATATGGTGGATGATGAAATTCCCACATTAGTAGACAATGGTTCTGACACGAGTCCTCAGATCTCAGGGTCGACAGTTTTTGCTGGGGAAGCACAGGTATGATTCGTGGAGGGTAGTCAGATGATCAGCACCTGTTCTCAAATGGCACAAAAAATGAAAGGGTATAAAAGACTGGTGCGCTGTTAGTGAAAATGTTTTTAGCCATGCTTAGAAGGCAAACCAGGATTGAGATAGCTTTGGGTGAGAGGAGGTAAGTACCTATCAGAAATACAGTTTCAGTGTAAGAAAATGTTAACTTTCACAGCAAATCTTGATTCTTTCAAATATTCCAAACTGCACTAACAATTCACTCTCTCTCTCTCTGTAGTTGTGCAATCAGAAAATTGCATCACAATATTCTGAAAGTACTTCTACTCAATAACACAGTCATAGTGTAGTCCTCTATGCACCTGGTGAAGTGAAACAATACATCTATCCCGTGAAACAGTAGGTAATTTCCATAATCAGATGTTTTGACTGACAGTAACATCCTAGAATGAATTTATCACATGCCTTCAAATTGAATTTCAATGTTCCAAACAAGGAGATAGAAAAAAATTTAAACTTTAATATTAGGAAACATGTACTACCAGAGAGTGAAGTATATGGTATTTGCATACTGCACACCTCTTTCTAAAGTCAATGTGCCTTCTCAGTTTTTACATCCTTAAGGGTTTTATAATACTCATGGCGAATTGAAAGTTGTTAATTTTTAATGAGTACCTTTTTCTCTTTATCATTTAACTTATTCCACCCCTCATGTGCTCCAAGAAGTATAATCTGTTTCTAGTCTATGGAAAGCAAGCAAATAACAGTTATGTGCTTTTGACATGACAGTCTTAGGACAAAGAATGATTACATGCAGCAACATGGATTGTAACAAACTGGTGAGACTCCAAAATCATCCAGTATAACATTCTCAACCTCTGTATTAGTTGGTATTTTGTGTTATTTGGGTCATTTGAATTGTAGGTCATAGAAATATGTAATTTATTTTGGTTGAATACTTTTTGATTTTAGACTGACTGTAAAAAGAGCTTGCTTGATAAAGAAAATAATAGTTAGTCCTTGGAACGTTCAATAGTTTGTTGTGTAAAAGGCTGAAAATAGTTTTCAGTTGATGAACTGAAATTGTAAATACTTGATTCAATACAAAAAATTTCAGTTTTGCATATTATCATAGAAAAGTAATAGAAAAAAGAGTTATCAATGAAGTTAATTTTTAATAGATTAATAAATCACCCCAGGATATTAGTGAAATGATATAATTATCTTTTTCCTATCAAATATTTAATTAATTTTGAAGTAATGAGCTTTAAAAGCTTTAGTTCAGTATGCAATTTAGACATAGCTTTTTGCATGTGAGAGTTAAAAACTGGAATATTTTATCAGTTTGTTTAATTTGGCTTTAATTTTTTTTATCATTTGTATACAGGATAGAATTGTTTTAGTAATGGCCAACAAGAATATTATTCTGTTCATAAAGTAAGGTCATAAGTTATTGTTTTTGTTGTTGAAGTTTACTCGTGTTCCTCCTTTACAGTTTATTTTCCCCCCATTTCTAGATTTTGAAAATTTCAAATGAGTTGCAGTAGCAAGAAATGATGAAGTTTCTGAGTTTTGGAAGACTTCCTCTACTAATGGGTCATCAACTCCCTCCTGACCTGAGAGAGATCGCTATTCTTGGTGGCTACCGACCTTTACAAAGTACACCCAGACAGTGTCTACAGAGCGTGTTTTCTCCTACCAATGAAACTATTAATGTCTGGACACATCTAATTCCAAGTGTATATTTTATATGGAAACTAGTAACCTTTTGTTATTCACTAGATGTGTCCACAACACCCTACACGTGGGCTTTTGTGGCCTACATGGTAACTGCATGCACATATCCCTTTGTAAGTGCCATGGCTCATACATTTTATGTTATGTCCACATTTGCAAGGAAGATTTGCTTTTTTCTGGATTATGGTGCATTAAGTTTCTATAGTTTTGGAGTTGGCTTGTTGTATAGAGCTTACGCTTTTCCAGAAACTCTTCTTGAGTCAAAATTTTGTGATGTTTTTCTATTTGTATGTTTGCTGAATGCACTGATGTCTACTGTTATTGCTTGTTCTTCTCGGTTCTTTACCAGTAGAATTTTGATGAAACTTTTTAGATTAGGGGCTTTCTCTTTTCCATGGATATGGGACAACATTCCTTTAATTTATCGCCTCACGTATGCTGATCGGCTTCAGTCAGTATCTGAAGTGCACTACATGCGACAGTTGGTCTTCTCAGTTCTAATTGGTTTCTTGTACACCTCTCATCTTCCTGAAAGACTGGCACCTGGCAAATTTGACATTGTAGGACACAGCCATCAGCTACTGCACATTTGTGGAGTGTTAGCAACCACTGAACAAATCAATGGAGCCCTGTATGACCTTAAGGTTCGACGAGAAATTCTTCAGGTTTCAGGTAAAATGGTCTGTAGTTCTTGGTCTGTAGGTGCAGTTGTGTTTTTGTTCTTTGTAAATGCTGGTATAATTGCTATGTTCACCAGATATGCCTGGAAAAGTCGGAATGATAAAGGTGAGTCAGATAAAGATAGGTAGTTCAGCTTTTTGGAATAGGATCATATCATTCACTTGTATCATCTCCTTTACAGTAACATTTTGTATGAAAAGCTGATTAATTCAATGTTTTAGGCACTGAAATGTGGTAGTTGTAAGTCTTTCAGTAACATACATAATCAGGATGTCTGATGTGAAGAAGACTTCAGGTTATCAAATAAAAGGATTTTATGACATTAGTCAGTGGTATATGAATTTTGTTTTGTACTGTTTTAATAAATTCCTATAGTTAATGTTGCTTTTGGATTTCTAAGTCTCTTGAAACTTAGAGCTGTTAATATAATGTGAAAGAGCAAAAGTCTAGAGAAAAGTATATTTAATCTAATATTTGAGATGGTTTTATTTTATAGTGATTTTTATGGTATTAATAGAAAACCTAAAGATAGAAAAAATATAAGTTTGGTTTTCAATAAGGTGACCATATATTGTAAACCAAAATTGGACAGAAATGTATAGAAGTTTGGACTTGTATTCACTGTAATTAGATACAGACAATACTGGAAAGACTTGCCGTATTAGTGCCAGTTATATTTTTCTGTGGAGTGTATCTGTCTTAGGATATTATTGTCTTAAAAAGAACAGGAAAATGTTTTGTAACACATTCAGTTGTATAACTGAGGTGATAGCACCAGTGTCGTCACATGACAATGATGTACCTAAGCTAATAATAAATACTGGCAGAATAGTTATTTCTGACATACTTCTGTTGCTGACTTTGTAATAAATATGAAAAATTAAATTAAGGGTATTTCTAGTTTTGAAAGAATATGTATTGAAATTTTTACTGTGAAAATAGTTGTTTTATGATACACTTAACTGACTGTTATAAGAAAATTCATAAACATATATATACACACACACACACCACAAAGACATTTTGAAAATGAAAAGAAATTGATTCTTACAGCCCAGTTTAAATATAATAAACAATACATTCTTACTGCCTCTCTTGCATCCAATGCAATTATGAAGTAGGTAGCTATACATAAAATATGGAGTGTGTGTGTGTGTGTGTACATATATCATTGTTTGGTAATACATTTCAATTTTTTTCGTGAAATCGTATTCATTTTAGACAATTTTATCAGTGTCATTTTATCAGCTGGCTCTTATTTTAATTCTGTTTGTAACTAATGGAATTTTAGACTTTAAGAACAAAAGAAAAACATGCAGGCGATAAAAATATAAAATCTTATAATGAAGTAAATTCAACAGAAATATATAGTGTTTTGATATATACTACAAAGAGGATATATACATATATATATTTTAAATATAAACTACAAGAGTTTGCTCCTGACAGCCTTATCAATAAATTACGAAAAAAAACGATCGTGAAACTTTTCTACATTTTTAGCTTCCTTTTTATAGTTCATTCCACCCTTTTGATAAAATGAACATTTTATTTAAGGGTGGATGTAATATTTCCCTTGTTACCGTAAAAGTATATATTGTGCTGTGGAAGCGTGATTATTATTAGGGTAGATTTTGACCTTCAAACGTTCGGAACACATTACCGAACAAAGGTCCAAACTTTGATAGTACTAATTTGCATAGCTTACAGATGACGTCACTATCACCACTAGTTTATGTTAGATTGAAAAACCCTCTGATTTTCCGTATAAATGAAATAAAACGTACATGTATAATTTAAAAATGTTTTATATTTTGGAGAGTTACCATGCTTGGGTATTTTTTAAAATGCACGTTGTTTGTGTACAGATACTTGATACTACTTGCAATCCTCATACAGCTACATAGAGTAGGCTTACATTGCAATAGCACCGTATTGCAGCCAGTTAAAAGGACTGTAGCTGTTTTAATCAAAACAAGTCTTCATTTAACACCTTCCAAGCAGGATAATGCACCCCAGAGGCTCAACGATAAGTCTGCAGGCTTACGATACTAAAATACGGGTTTGACACCCGTGGTGACAGCGCACAGACAGCCTATTGTATAGCTTTGTACTTAACAAAATCAAACTAAATCCAAGGAGGTTAACAGCCGCAGTCATTTTAACGTTTAATTGTTGATTAATTAAGCATACGCAATAAACATAATAATAAATAAACAGCAAAACAGAACAGAGTAACACCAACAGCTTGATTAGAATATATAAGAGAGATAGTGTTATTACCAGTCTCTTTGAGTGGAGTGTATTGTTTCACTTGTGCACATTTTTTCATCATTGAAGTTACTAGCAGAAATACCCGCCCTCCGGGTACTATACCTGCTAGTTCTTGATAAAGGCTATTGGGCCTGCGTCCTTTTCTGAAATTGTCTGACATTTCTACAACAATGTACTCGTACTTGACATTCAATAATGTTCACCATCCATGATAAAAAAAGATTTGATTGAAATTTTAGTTTAAAAATGAGCCATCATCACAGCATTACATCACAGAGTAGATTTTATTGAAGTATTTCTTTGTAGACGCAGTTATCAAAGAAAGTGCCTTTTTGTTGCAACACTCACGAGATTTTAACTAAATAAAAACAAATAATTTTTTTAAGTTTGTTTTTTCATTGTTTTATATCTGAAACTTACTTCCTTTTATGTAATTTTTATTGGTTAAATCTGAAACATATCATTTTTATGGCTCAGCTATAAAAATATTGCCCAGTTAGAAAAATATTACCTAGTGATGATTGGTGCAGTAGTTTCCGAGATCCGACTTTTAGACGTTACACATCGCAAGCTCCATTATAATAAGATTGTTGTTAGCATATATTTTATGTTTCATACTTATTTAACCATAATACTTATCTTACGTCTTCTTCACTAAGCATTTAGTACATTTTATTGAAACAATACAAGCACTAATCATACTTCCCTCTGATCCAATTGCTGGGAATGAGCCGCCATGTGTAACATTTTAGTGGTGGTGGTGGTGTGCGTGTGTGTTTTTAAATACAATTTTTGATTAAGTAATGGGCATTATACAAATCGAAAGATCGAATTTTTGAAATGGGTGACATTTAATTTGTGATTAATATTCAAATGGTTTCTGTTAACCACAACAATGAAATAAAAAGTGAGACTTCTTGACTGCCACTTGACGAACATTCAACTGTTTAGGATTATCTTCGAATTTCTGGCTAGCGAACGAACTTTTAAATACAGCTCTAATTATAATCAACTATATCTGTCATAAGGCAGAGTAGTATAAGGCTTATTTGGGGTACCTTTGGGCTTTTCAGAGAAGAAGAGTGTATAATTGTATTTCAACCACACTGTGTCCACCACAGCCATTGCCACACTTTACTCGGTATGAAAATAAATAATGTAATGCTAAAAAACATGGAACATTAATTACTGATAGCAAGATCCAAATCTTTTTATCAGCTAAGTTGAAATGCATTACTTTCACTGAGGTTCTGAGAAACAAAGGGACTAATATGCAAAGTATTTCAGCTAAGGGTGTTTCTGATCAAATTTGTGTTCTTTTTATGTGAAAATAGAATAAGTATTGAAAGTTATATATCTCTTTGCCAATGCACTTTATGGCTCAGCTGTAACTTGAGCGCTAAAAATGGAATTAACCTTTGCTTTATGAATAAGATCAAAGATGATTTCAACTAGAAAGTTGTGTATAACCAAGCCAAAACAGTAATAAGCTACTTATAAAAATACCTTAACTTCTAGGATATTGTAAAGCATGACATTAAGAGCTTCTACGTGTATTTGTGTGATTTATATGTATTCTTCTGACTCAATAGTACATACTTTCAGGGTAGAGTTTATTGTGATTTATATTGCATGGGGGGGGGGGGGTATGAACGATCTTTCTTTTCGACCACAGATAAACCTTAATTCCACCACATCTGAGTTTCTAGAACTACATACTTTGATACGGTGCTAAAATTGGAGTATTCAGATGCCAGTATGTCTACCTTAAATACTAAAGAGCAACATAGTTGTAATAGAGAGGCGTCGGAACCAGGGGTACTATAGCACCCACACTTTTACATATTTGTCTTGTGTAGCAACTGTAAGTGATATTATTATATTAATTTTCTGGGAGATCATGCCCCGCACCACCCTAGATTGAGCTGCTTTTATTTTCAGTCTCTCGTTGTAAAATGTACATGTCTAGCCAACCATTCTTACTTTGCAACTCCTTCCTACATCACTGCAATATAAACAGCTTCAAATTATTTTTAAAACTTATGGGGATATTTATTTCAACATGTACTTTTTTGGTAAACAGGTTTTCATCATGAGACGTACAATTTTGTGCGCGCGTGTGTGTGAATATACACTTGCACATGAACACGTAAACAGAAAAATCCAGATATCATCTGTGTATTTGGAAGGAAACTATCGTTAAATTATCGGCTTGTTCATATTCTATAAACTATTGGTTGGGTTCACATATTGTATTACCTAATGATATAAAACACAGTGTTTTATCTGTCTGTCTGTCACTAGGTCACGCAATGATGTCAAGGTAACTTATTACGTAATTTAAGTAGTTTGGGTTCCTGTCAATTAGAAGCGAGTAGTCTACGATTGATAGAAAATTAAATATATATTTGGACTAAAATGTACAAAAAATTGCACTTTTTTCGCTATTTGAAAATGTATCTTTGTTAAATCGTCGAGTTACGACAGGAAGGACGTAAATATACTTTATTAGACATTTTATACAACATATTAAAAGTTTATCAACGTTTTTGAAAAGGTCTAACGTTAGGTCGTACAATAATATTAGAATATTATTTATTTATAGTATTAAGTTAGGTAAAGTTTAGACCTAACTGAACTAAAGTAAGTTACAGTGTTAATTTATCTCTCTATCGAATATAGGCTTAACTAATGTTAGGGCTAAGACAAGTGGAAATCCTGTAGTTAAAAAATACTGTTGCAGTAAAGATACTAATTTGGCCGCAAATGTTTTGCGGGTCTGCTAGTATTAAGTAATTTTAGGTTTCTGTCTGTTACGTCAAACTGAAAAAACTAACAAAAAGTTGGGCGAAGTCATCTATTTTCTGTGAGAAATACATAGGAAACTCCAGTAGTAATTAGTGAAATTACGTACAATATTAATGGCATTTATGGTTAATATCGTTTTTTAAGTCATATATAACTAACGACGCCACAGACTCATAAGCAATTAGATGCATAAATAGTTTAAAACGTTAGTGTGAACGCATCTGTAAGTGTAGGCTTAATGTACAGTGTAGTTTTTAAAGTGCAGAACAAGAAATTGAAACAATATCTAATTTATTTTTGAGTACGAGATTTTCCAGATATTTGGAATGCTTTTGTCATGTAATGGAAAAAAAAAAAATTATTAAGTTACCCCGGTGAGTTTTCTGTTTCGTGAATGTCAATGTGCAAGAATACTATCAACTTATACAAGCTCAGGTACAAAAATATTTGTTGGTGTGTCCATTTTGTAGAGGACCGAGTATATAATATGTTGTTGGCAGTGTTGTTGTTTTGATTTTTACAGGTTTCAGTGTCCAGTAATTTTTATGTACGCAGTAAATTGTCTTTATTTTTATATATGTTCATTTGTTTTAGATGATATATGGTAGTTCATTATTAATAAATAAATATATATATATATATATATATGCCTGATGTATACTGTTGTTTTCTTATATAGAAATAAAATTCTGTGATTCATTGCATATATATGTATGTGTTTCGATTTTGTTTAAGTAAATCTTTTTAACTTCATAGCTGCGCATTGAATATTGAATCTAAATTAAAGGACACAAAGTAGTTATTAATATTAACTATGGTATTAATTATATCGTGATTCTACGGTGATTGTTAAATATATATTTATATAGAAGGTGGGATATGAGTGGTTAAATAAACTAGCAGAAACGCCGCCGTACGGGCGGCTGTTTGTGCTAGTAATACTAATCGTAATATTCATACCTCATTGAAAAAAATAACAGAAAAATGAACAGTTTCTAAAAAAGGATTTTTTCCGGGAAGTACTGCACGGGAAAGTGTTCGGATTGTGCTGATATAAACTGTAATGTTGTTATATATTAAAAGTGGTGCCATTGTTGACAAAATAACATTTTTTTAAATAACTCATATTTTTAGTACTATATTTACAAATTACATCAGTAAAGATTTAATCAAACCCTGACATACAGTCCTAGTAAAAGTCGTGTTCTTGTTGTGAGGAGAGTACTTTTATTTAAAATTGTGTGATGTGATAAAGTTGTTTTTCTAATTGTCTGAATTTTGAATACCCCAAGCGTGAAATTTTTTAATTAATGTTTTGTTTGTGGTATCATTCAATAGTTGGCGCCACGTTGTATTTATTATTTCAGCCATATACATATAAAGATACTACGTCCATTATAGTAAGATATGTTTGGTGCAATTTGTATTATTCGTTTAATACTAAAGAAAATATTATAAAAACAGTTGATTAAAACGAGCTTAATTATTGTTTATAAAAAATTTCATTACTCAGTTGAGCCGTTATCAAGTTTTAATTATTGTTTGTTTTAGAGTAATGGTTAGAAGTAAAACTATGTATCGTTTTTAAATGGGCAGAACTACAGTTCTACATTTATAACCTCAACAGTAAATTATGTGCTGAGCTAACAACGTTGATTCCAGGCCTTAGTTTATAAATGAGGCTCTATTTTACACGGAGACATCTTTCATCACTGGCCCTAGCTGAAATCTTAAACAAACTGGACGTTACGACTACGTCACATTCTCTTAGGCCATGTTCAGCTATACTGGAATTGGTGGGTGATGTTAAATTTGAATGTTATTTTATTAATTACGTTTTAGTGCATTAAGCAAAAAATGTAAAATACAAAATTAACCCGGTATGAACACCCACTATTTTAACACAGTACACTGAGCATAACGAACACGTATATACATCAACTTTCCCAGTGGACTATACATTTATTAACTATCAAAATTCACAACAAACAATAACTTTTTGGCAAATACAATCACTAAAACAGAAATAGTTATATCCGTAAACAATACAGAAAGCAAAGAACCTGATGAAGATAACATAAACTTTCATTTTCTAGATAATAATAATAAAAAAAGAAATTGTTTAATCATTTAACAGCATTATTTAGCCTATCCTTCAACTCAAGCTGTATCTCAGCCTCTTGGAAGAAAGCAGATGTTCTTATGTTATTAAAGGAAGGAAAACCATCGAATAAACCAAAAAGCTACCGACCAATTAGTTTAACAAGCTATATAGGCAAAATGTTTGTTTGTTTGAATTTCGCGCAATGCTACACGAGGGCTATCTGCGCTAGCCGTCTCTAAT